AGAGAGAGAGAGAAAGAAAGAGAGAGAGAGAGAGAGAGAGAAAAGAGACAGAGAGAGAGAGAGAGAGAGAGAGAGAGAGAGAGAGAGAGAGAGAGTATATTGCAGTATATTTACCCCTTTTTACATTATCTTTGATTATCAGGGCCAACCCGGTCTGAGTGGGATGCAGTATCTCTTCAAAAAGGCGGAAGCACTCGATACAATATACTTTCACACGCAGGAATCGAATTCTCAGTTGGGGTAGGGGGTGGATATTATATAACAGAAACTCTTTGTGTGTATGTGTGTGTGTGAGAGAGAGAGAGGGGGGGGGGAGAGAGACAGAGTGACAGAGAGAGAGAGAGAGACAGAGAGAGAGACAGAGAGAGAGACAGAGAGAGAGAGAGAGACAGAGAGAGAGACAGAGAGAGAGACAGAGAGAGAGAGACAGAGAGAGAGAGGGGGGGCAGAAAGTGGAGACAGGAGGAGAGAGAAGGGAGCACGATTGATTCCTAGACTGATTGTTTGATTGGCTGGTTTGTTTGCAGATTAGTCCGTAATTGTTAGGGTTTTTTTATTCTTCTACTGCGTGGGGACAATTTCCCAATACGCTTATGGGAAAAAAATAGTATTGGATAAGACCGTTTATGCATTGGTATGCGAGGGAAAAAAAGAAACAGTGAAAAAATTTTCTCGTGAATGAATGGGTAACTATTGCGTTGATCAACGTAAAAAGGTAACGGAAAGGCTTGCGTTGCAGCATTTTAAACACAGAGTGGATCTATTGAAATGGAAATCGGTCTCCGTGTCTCCGAGAAATCGAGAGCATTGTTAAGGCTTTCTGCATATTATAACACGAGCAATAAACATGGAGTTTATCAGCCGCAAAAAAAAAGAACACACAAGGCAAGATCTCAGTTAACAGCTGTCACAACGTTGGTCTTCATAAAGTAATTATAAAGGATAATTCTTATTTAGAACACTCTTCTGCCAAATCTATACAGGGGCAACGATATTGGCTTTGATGAAAAAAAGTCATATTTTGCGTATAATGAATGCTCTCTTGGCGTCAGCGAAATGTATTTAGAGCTACACAAAAGTGTTTGCGAAAAAAAGCTCCAAACACAGACAACATATTATACATGTTGTCGCTAGCGTCGGTAGCCCTCATTTTATCTTTGATTATGCCTTAGAATGGTAACAAAACTGGAGGAGAAAGACTTTGAGAGAGAGAGAGAGAGAGAGAGAGAGAGAGAGAGAGAGAGAGAGAGAGAGGGAGACAGAGACAGAGACAGAGAGAGAGACAGAGACAGAGACAGAGAGGGGGCGGGGACAGAGACAGAGAGAGCAGAGGGTGGAGAAATAGATAGATAGATAGATAGATAGATAGATAGATAGAGAGAGAGAGAGAGAGAGAGAGAGAGAGAGAGAGCAAGAGAGAGAGAGAGACGGGGGGTAAAAGAGAGAATGAGAGATAGAGAGAAAGAAGGATGGGGGAAGGTTCTCTTGAACAAGATCATTTCCATTTTTTTAGGGGGAAAACTACAACGAGGATGCTTCATCATTGAACTGTTAGCTGTTTGTTCTTTCGTTGGGTTTTTTTTGTTGTTGTTGTCTTTTGGTTTGTTTTTTTGGATGCTTTTATACAGGTGACCTATCCCCTCTAACTTCATTTTTCGCTCCGGCTTCTGGAGATCTAGAATGAAAAGAACAGCAGCGTTATCATCTTTGAGTTTTCTTTTCAACTGAGCTCATTTTATGGGGGGGGGGGAGTCCTGCAAAGTGACATCTCAATGAAGATCTCTTACGCTGAATAGATTTTTCTAAACCTTTGTTGGACAAGAAAAAACGCAGTTACAGCCTGCTTTCGCGTAATTGAAGACAACAGGGCATACCTTGCTTGACGGCTTTGTCGTAGACTTCTTTGGCGTCTTCCCATCTTTTCAACTAAACAATGAAGAAAAGAAAGCGATGAGACACTTTTTGCTTCTTTGAAATTGGTTTCGTAACAAAGTCTGGGAACATTGCCTGGTGTAAGTAAGTTGCATGGTAAAAGAAGTCTGATGGGCATATGTGTGAATGGATGTGCAAATTTACTTGTGAGCAATACATTAGTTTTTGAATAGATGGACCGAGAAGTTGATATGCGGAGGAAGAGTTGGAATACTTGAATAGAATTAGTCGATAAACAAATGGATCTTGTTTAAAATAAAATTAGCTGTTTCCAGAGAAGTAGAGTGCACACCATGGAACAACCCCTTGAGCATGGGCTTATATTGTTATGCACCGTTATCTCGGGAATACTATAAGTGATTAGGCCATCGACAGTAAGGTGTAAAATGTGAAATAAACACAATTTAGCTGATCCAGCATTTTATTCTCCAGCTCTTATCAAGCTGAAACAATCCTAATCCGACAATAGAGTAATGAACTCAAAATTGTCTACCCTTCTCGTTCACTTCTGAAATACTTTATTTTATATTGAGTGGGACCTTCAGGTTAAACTTTGTGGTTGTTTTTGTATTTGTTTTTGTTTTGCTTTTGTTTTTGGTTTTGGTTTTGTTTGTTTGGGTTGGGTTTTTTTTGTTTAGTAAGAGTTTTGTGGCGCTCGCAACTGCTTAAGGTCACGAGTTGGTTGCATTCACAACAGTTCACAGCACGGCTTGATTTTGTTCAATGTTTCTATTAAAATGTTACAATTTCATGGTAAAAACATTCTTAGTTTGAAATAGCACTTTAAATATCTTTCAGAATTTAAATAAAGTTATTCACAATTTGCTGCACATGCCAATAGCCTTTATGAAATCGAGAATTAATTCTGTTGGGATCAACGACGGAGAACAGGTCTTGCAATTGTTTTGCATTTAAAATATTTCCTTTAGGTCTCTCCAAAGTCTGGACATTCTGTTACAATGTGTCAAATGGTAAAATCTTTGTCGTAACCGACACAGAACGGTTTCTCATCTCACTGAAGGTTAAACTTTAAAAATAAACGCCCAATTGCAACTTGTAGCTAAAGTAAAGTGTACCCCCCCCCCCTGGTCAATACGTTTGGAATCAGAGAATGTGTAAAGGTGTGTCCCACTATCTTTGCAGGTAGGAGAGAGAGATATTTTTATGGTAGGGAATCTTATCATTTTGAATTTTGAACGGTTGGCGTCCAAGCGGCCTTCCGAGAGTACTTACTCGGAAGAGAGCCCTGCCTTTGAGACCAAGGACAGAACTTTCGTGGGGGCATCGTTCTTGGGGATCTTCCTCCGGACTAGAGGATTCGTTGCTCAGCAGGTCAAGGGTCACATTCAGCCATTCTAATGATCTCAAAAATGAGTATCTTGATTCTGGGAGAGTATTATACAATATTGGCATGTTTAAATCATGTGCGTCAGGGCAACTTTATCTATCTCTCTATCTCTCTATCTCTCTATCTATCTATCTCTCTATCTATCTATCTATCTATCTATCTATCTATCTATCTATCTATCTATCTATCTATCTATCTATCTATCTATCTATCTATCTATCTATC